CTTGCGAAGTGCCCAAACCCCTGCAACCATTTGTCAAAGCGCATCAACTAAAGATTAAACGACTATAAAAAAAAGAAAAAAAAAAAACAGGCATTAAATATGCAGTTAACCGCTGTCAGCAAAACAACAACAAGGCAACAACAATGATAACAACAACAACAAGTCCATAAAACAAATATTGACCAACACTCGACATTATAAAATTTCAATTAATTATGAACAGCTTAAAAGTTGAGCTAAATTAATTTGATTTTTCACTTTTACTCAACCTCCTTTGTTTTATGGTTTTCATTTTCATTTTCATTTTTGTTTTTTATTTGTTTTTATGATTCAGCTTCAATAACAATTTGCGCGCAATTTCGCCGAGTCATGAGAATTTATGAACAGCGTGTGACAAATCATAATTGAAAATGTGTTTATAAATCCCAATATATAGATATAAATATAGAATGCGAGACTCTAAGCCCAACGCTTGGCGTGGCAAATTAGGCGAAATGTTAGCTGGAATTTATGAAAAGCAAAAAAATAAATAAAAAGCTAAAAAAAAAAAAAAAAGATTTAAAAAACATGGCAAACGCATCAAGTGAGAGTAGCAAGAGTAATGGCTTTTCTGTGTGCTAGGCGCGCATTTTTTAAATGCATTAAAAAAGTGTTACACTCGAGTGCCGCACATTTATCACACACCCATACACACACACGCACACCCGCACACACTTACATAATGGAAAAATCGCATTTAAATTGTTTGGCGTACAATAAATTGTTATAATTCATCAGGCGAATCTCTGGCCTAGCGACGCGAGCTAGCTGACTGTACTTGATAAATTGATTGACTTTAATTCAATTCAATTGAATGGCGGACCTAACAAATTTATGGCATACAGCAAAGGAAAATGCAAAGGAAAAGAAGAAAAAATAATAAGAAAAGAAATAAGTCTCAAAAAAAAATGTGTGACAACGCGACGTATGAGTAATATTGCCAGGAGTCGACAACGAGTCGTATGCGTGATATCGCATTGCATGACAGGCACTTTATTAGCTGGCGCTATTAATTTGCATGCGAGACGCATCAACAACAACGCCCTCCAAGCCCCACCCACAGCCAAAAGAAAATTGTAATAAAATTGCTAGCTCCGCCCTCCCAAAAAAAAAAAAGCAAAAAGCACAAATAAGAAGAAAAAGGAAAAAATTGACAGCAAAATCAGAAAATTCCATTAATTTTAAGCAGTCAATCAAAATTGCCAACTTGAAGTCGATTATATTATGCTAATGAAAAATCGTATAGCAGACAGTAAAGGAGGCGTGGCAGCCCCACTCCCCAACTCTGCTCTCTCTCTCTCACTCTCTAGCTGACCCAGACACAGCAGGTGGCAGCTGTCCAGACAAAAGTCATCAACTATCAACATCATTCATTATTATTTATTATCGATGAGGCATACGAGACGCACACTTAATATTGACTTACACACATACATACATCAAGATATACATACATATATACATGCTTCCACAATCATTTCTCATAAACAAGCTGACAAACTGACTGCAGCTGCTAACACGTGTTTGCCATTTGACATTTGCCCCGGGCTCTGAACTCTTTGAGGCCAAAAAGCATTTGGGAATAGCTCAAGAAAATCTGTTTATAAATGGATAAAAAAGAAAATATATATATAAATAATAATGAAAGGGTTTTTTCGTAGAGCAAAGTTTATGGAAATCGTGGGCTTTGCGAAAAGTGGAGTAACTTCATTTAAATTCCTTCTCAGAAAGTTTTTCGATGTCCGCCTCTGCCTTGCTGATTTGCCTCTTATGCTTCTGCTCTATGTTCACTTCCTTCTCCTGCCATTTATCAGGAAATGTTTATCTAGTTAACTGCTTTTAATCACAGAAACATTTAATCCAAACATTCATCAAAGTCAACATGATTTCCGCTATTTATAAATTATTTATTTATATTTTATATAAAGTTAACTTTATGTAAACACACTTGATTATTTTATGATTAAATTTGTACTTAAAAAAAAAAATGTTAAAGTATTCCCTAGTTGAAACTCTAGCAAAAAAATTATACATTTATTTTTCTGATTTGCATTTTTTTTTTTTTTTATGTATTCCCTTGTTGCAACTTAATAGCTATAATTATTTGTATATGTTTATATCTTTCACATAAAAAGTATTCCCTAGATTTGTCTACATATATTAAGTTTAAGGAATACCCTTAATTTGATTTTAATAAGAATTTTTGTATTTATTACTGGGTGTTTAATAGTCTGTTGTAGTTTAACTAATAAATTGCTTTTTTTTACATTAGAGGTATTCCTTACTTCGTATATATTTATCAGGCAGCGCAGATAACATACAATTAATGACATTCCCTACTATTGATATATATAAACAATTCTTTCATTATTTTTCTGTGCACTGCAGAGTATCATTAAGTCGATCATTTAGCACTTTACTGAGAGCTAACGACCCATCTGCATGGTTAGCTTTTAATTGAGTGCCTTTTAATTGAGTTTTAAGCAAATGTACAGCATATCGATAATTATATTTATATTTATGCAGCTGTCATTAGCGTGTAAGTGGGCGCAAATTAAATGATGCTCCACACATGCAAATGCACAAATACACACACACACACACATGTTTATGTATATGCTGCCCAGAGGCACTTAGCAAAGTTTGCAGAACATTTAAAGCGGATGTACATATATAGAACAGCCAGATATATATCTATATATATATAGAGTAGCTATCAGCTGCTCGTCTCGAGTGCTTTGTCAACTTAATTAATTGTTGATTTAAACTTGCAAACACATTTGTTTGGCCTCCGCGCTGGCATTGCCTGGCATAATATTTGTTTATGCAAATTGTGTTTAATTAATACATAAACAAATTGCTGTTGCCACTTTAAGCGCTGCGGTCAGCATTGTAGCTAAAGAAATTGTACAGTGTTTCGCTGTCAAATTTTGAAATGTGCGGTTTGCCGGCATTAATTTGACATTCATTCGGATACACACACACACGCACACACAGACACACGCACAGCCGGTGGTTTGCTGTGGTTAACAACCTTTTGAACACTGACAAAACTTCAAAACTGAAAAAGCCGCTTAATGGCTGCCACCTCAACAACAACAACAACAACAACAAACAGTTGCTGCTTGATACTCCTGCTGCTACTACTCCTGCTCCTGCTTCTCCCTTGTCTGCCTGCCTGCCCGCCTTGGGACGTGATTATCTATGCCACACAGCTGAATAGTTGGCATTCTTAAAGCCTTTGGCCCTAAGCAACAAGCAACATTGAAGTACCAATACGTTTAAAGCCGGCCTCATAACACACAGTATATGTATGTGTGGGTCAATCTGTATGTCAATGTATGTGTGTGCGTGTATGTGCCAGTTACCATACACGTTGCATTTAAAAACTCGTTTAGGCATGTTGCTCTACTCACAGACTGAACAAGTGGGTAACTAAAAAAAAAGTTAGTTTGGCTTCGGGTATAGAAAACTTTGCTAATACTCTAGACCGAACTTCAAGTTTAGTTTTAACAGTAAACTTTAAGCTTCAATTAGAATATGTAAATGGAATATCAGAGCTATCAGAGCTATAACAATTCTACTCAGTATCTCCTCCAAAAGAAATCTTGCCAGTATTTCATTGATAGGAAAGTCTATTGATATATATTTATGTATGGATATTTAAGTTAACCCTTGACTTCGGGAAATTTTTGTTAGATTTTCAGATATATTTTATTAGAGCTATCGCATTATAATCATATATCATATCATAACTATGTACTAAGTAAATTTGAGAGAAGAAAATAATTTTCTTCTTTTATTGGATACAGTAATGGCTTATCGATTTTCCCCTTAATTTGTCATTATATTGCTGATAGGAAAGTCTATATAAATATTTTTATTTATGTATATTTAAATTGTACCTTTTATTATTGTTCAGTCTTTTAAAATTTGTTAGATATATTTTACAATATTTGTTATTAATTTTTCCGAATGGAAAGAAAATTCGAGAGAAGAAAATAATTGTCTTTTCTTTTATTGAAAACAGTAAAGGATAATGGATTTGCTCCTTAATTTTCCACTATTCCAAGCAATTCATTTCGGTTCTATCACTCGACCAAAGAACAAAAAGATAAATATAACAATTAATTTCTTATCTAGAATTCCCATTGATTACATCTAAAGTTCAAATCGAAAAAGCATTTGCGGAAAGTTCAATGGAAGTAAAAATTTAGTTGTAATCCAATTAGGATAAATTTCTATGCTCCATTGAAAACATTCAATTGGAAATGCCTAGTACGGAAATACGTTCACTTCAATCCAATTATAATTAAGTTAATTCTTTTCGAAAACTCAAACGAATCGAGCTCAAGAGAGAATGCAGAATTTCGGGTAGCAAACCACATTACAAAGTTATGTGGACTGACTTGGGCGGCTCAAGCTTTAGAAATGGAAATTTCAAAAATGCCTCGCTTGGCACACACACACACACACACACACACCGGTTTGCATACATACATAAAACATGTTTTTGGCACACAAAACCCCTGAAAAAAACCTGAGAGAGGCAAAACAAATACAAACAGCAGAGCAAAGCAACAACAAAAAATGGTAACAAAATGTTCTAAATAAAAAATAAAAAAAAATAAAATAAAAATAGAAAAAGACTGTTGAGCGGAATTCGAATATCGAACACGTTTCTTTACTTTGACGCTGCGCCATATGTTTGTGTGTGAGTGTGTTGGAGTGTGTGTGCCTGCCTAGATTTATGCAGCATTTCATTTGCATTTTGTGCGCGTTTCGGAGAAGGTAAATAACAAATAAAAAAATAAAAAAAAACACCGTCGCGTCTCAAGTGTTGCAGCAATTGTTAATAAAAATAAAAAGTTGTTTGTTATTGTTGTTGCTCTATTTTCGCTATACCACTTGCTATTTTCTATTTTCTATTTATTTGCCTCTTCGTCTGCTTCTTCTTCTAGCTATTGGGCTGTGACCAACATTGATTACATCCATTCACGCACCAGCAACCGCGTCTTCATGATGATCTTCTGCGTCTGGTCCGCATCTGTGATTGTTTCGCTGGCGCCACAATTCGGCTGGAAGGATCCGGATTATCTGCAGCGCATCGAGCAGCAAAAGTGCATGGTCTCACAGGATGTGGCCTATCAGGTATGGCTGATATATCCATTGACTGTGTGGATGAGTTTCAAAGAGAATTTTCCCTCATTTAGGTATTTGCCACCTGTTGCACTTTCTATGTGCCACTGCTGGTTATTTTGGCTCTGTACTGGAAAATCTATCAGACGGCCAGGAAACGCATTCATCGTCGACGACCGCGTCCTGTTGACGTGACAGCCAACAATAATCAGGTGAGTGCCAATACTTAACATAAGAGGGATTAAAGTGTAGAGAGATGAACTGATTACAGGAGAGCTAAAGCGAATTGGAATGAGCTTTAGATAAGCTTTGGTCTTATTAACTTTTTAGCTCATTCTCTCAGCTCCTTATATAACTTGACTTGTGCCTTAAATTTAAATTTTTGTTAAGAAACTTTTAGGATACATTATACTAAACTTCTATTCCCTAAGCACCTTGTAAAAATATTACGCAACTGGGAAATACCTCAAGTTGATTTTTAAAAATATTGATATATAAATAGAAATGAATGAAAGCAAAAAGTGGGTTTCTTCAACTACTAAGTATACTCTAGAATTATCTACTCTGGTTGAACTGTTAACATATTCAAACTGCTTTAATGAATAATTAGAAATACTCTACTCGAGAAAGCCGCAATGAATGATACCCTAAAATACATGTCGTTTCAAGTTGCTTATGAAACGTATTTTTGTCACTTTATTAATGAGATGAAGGTACTCATTGATGGGATAAAGAAATTCTATGTAAGGGAGTATGAAAAAAATATATATAAAAAAATTTAGAAAATGTGAATATGTATATTATAATCTTTTATATTTAGTGATCTAATATTGCTTTTATAAATTACTTTCATATCGATGCTATAGAATTTGAGCTTACCTTATGAATGCCCTGACTGATTAATTTTTAATTCTACTAATGAATCTAAATATACTCCAAAATGTCAACCACGCTCTCTAAACACTTTTACCTACATCATAATCAAGCCAATATGCCCTGCATTTACCTTCGCCATATGTGCAGGATATAAAAATGAATGCAAACTAAAATATTCCAACTCGGCTCAGGCAAAGCAAGTTTAAATATTATTTTTTGCCAAAAATTCCATATGCAATCAATTACCCAAAGAATCAATAATCAATTTTCAGCCAAATTCTTAAGTTTTGCTTCAATACAACAGCCACCACGCCCATATTTGCTGCATCAAGCTCTTAACTTAATCAAAAATGGAAAAGCTGTCCATTTGTGACCTTTTAATTTTTAACAACTTTCGTAAAGCAGCTTTTCAATAAAAGTTAAGAACTGCAAAGGAAAAATATTTCAACTTTTTCGACCTGAAAATTTCTGGAATAATCCATAACTAAATAGGAATCAATTTAATACAGCGTGTGGCATGGCTGAAGCAGCTCGAGCTTGGCTGCGCCCACAGCCACAATGAAACACCCTGTGTGTGGCAGCATGTTAAACCCAAAGCCGCAGCACAATTTGCCGTGCAACCAAAGCCCTGCAATTATGCACTCTAATGAAGTTAACCGCGAAGCCAGCCACAAAATCGACTCGAGACAAGAGCCCGAGTCAAAGGTCAGCGCAGCATGAGGGTGGTTAGGTAAAGGGCAGAACAGAGAGAGGGGTAGAGACAGACAGAGGAAGGGCAGAGAGAGAGTGTGAAGAGCAGATAGCAAGGAGAAGACGTGGAAAAGCTATTAGACCGCCACGCCCTCACACAAAGACTTCAGCTTGAGCTGATGCGAAATATGCCCTTAACATATATGCAAGATGCTCACGATTTGGCCACTGCCTTGGGGCGCCCAAATGTAATTAGCCAGCCTGAGCTTCATTCAAGTGGTTCAAAATGCATTTTAGAAATTTGCTGAAGCGAATGCACAGCCACAGCTGCTAAAAGGCAAACTCAGCTGGCGCCTGAGGTCTGGTAGAAAGTTGAGAAACGTGGAAAAAACCTAAGACCGGTGCTCAGTGTGGATAAGTAGGTATTTAGATAGATATGTATGTATATGTAGGTATGTATATATGCTGATTGAAATTCCATTTTTAATATACATACCTTAACTGGCAGGGAAACTTCCAGGAAATACTCTGAGCATTATTTAAAGCTTAAAATTTGGGTAGAATAGGTATGCCAGAAATTAAAATATTCTCGTCAGCATTCATTGTTAGTCAGCTATTTAAATAGTATCAGCAATAATGATATTTATGTTACTATTACATTGAAAAGCCTTAACATATCCACAGTTCACTCAGTTAAATTAACAGCCAGTGTAAGCAACAGAGTTCGCTTGTTTACTTCGTTAATGTTAAGCGTAACAGTTGCAGTTCTTTCATTAAACACTCATTAATGCTTTACAGCACCCTCTCTGGTGCTGTTAGCTTAACAGTCATTAGGATATACAGCTCGCTGTTATTCTTGCATTCAGCATTCTGTATTTCTGTAGCTCTTAAGCTTCTTCTCTCAGCTGTTAGATTAACAGCGAGGCTGCAGCCACGATTGAGTCTTTTAACAGTGTGCTGCTGCAACTCTGTTTACTTAGCTACTTGGCTTATAACATAGCTCAGCTCACAGTTAATATGTTCTGGACGCTGTTAATTTAACAGTCCCGCTCTGCAGCCTCTCTACCATATGTTAATATCCTAGCTATTCATATTTTATACTCTTTTGCTCGATGGCAACTCAGCTCTGTTAGGCCGGCTCTATGAGCTTTTGCTCTACTCTGCAATTCTGTTGGGCTGTAAATCTCTTCCATGACATTCTCGTAATACAACTCAGGCTACAGCTAGAGCATCTGCACTTCGCACAGCTCACAGCATTGCAGCTTTTCTCTATAAGAAATTCCATTTCTTCGTCTATTTGTTGTTGTTGTCTTGTTTTTGTCTATAACCAGCAGAGATGCTGGACCGCAGCTACTTAGCTTAAGCTTAATGCTTTGACTAAATTGAAAATGACCATTTGACGTGGAAATGTTTGCAACCACTTACCAACCTACACACGCATAAGCACACACACACATACACATAGCCACTCAAGCACCTAAGAGAATCGCATAGGGCAGTGCGAATCTGACAAAAAGTCATTGGAATCACAAATTCAATGCGCAAACAAGACAAGTTGTCCACTATTTGCCAACGTACACATGTCCAAGCCATGTCCGGCGCGCGTGTATGTGTGCGTGTGTGTGTCTGTGTGTGAATGTGTTAGTTACATGTCAGCAGGCGCATGCCAATACGAATACCAGCATACTAACACACACACACACACTCGAACACACGCACAGAGATGTACATACAGAGTCTGCTACACGCATCCATTTAGTGCCACTCACTGGCCTGGCCTGCTTGTTGATTTTAAAATATATTTACCCCACTCAGCGCAGGCATTCTGATGCCCTTACCACGAAGCTCATGGGCTAAGTGAGTCAATTTGTATGCAATAGGTACAGAGACAATCGCAAGGATCAAGGCAACGTTAGAACTAGAAAGTTTTCTGGGGAAAAAGTTCAGTTTGGGATAAGCAGAGTGCCTAATGAGCTTGCTATGGAGTGTAGCTCTTTGTGGAGCTTTCAAAGCTGTTTAAAAATGCATAATAGGACTAACATAATATACAAACATTTTATTTTCAAGATTTTTATATATTATGTTTAAACTTTAAACTAGTTTCTTAAAACAAGTACAAGGCAATATTAAAAGCTCTAGTAAACCTATATAAAATAAAAAATAAAAAAATATTCCTCATGTATATCCCAATATCTTTTCATATTATTATGAATCCAGTTGCATTTCTGATTATCAATGGCGTGTAAAAAGTTAATCAACAAATAGTTGAAAGTTTTATGAATGCTAAAACTCTTTTTGAAATCCACTTAATACTTCCGTAAGCTTTCATACTCAGGCTTAGCAGAGCATTTAGCTAACGCCTAGCCATTGGCATTTGAATTATTTCTCTTGTTATTCCTTTTTTATTCAACTAAATGCTTTCAAATTGAAAATTGCTTTCCTGCAACTTGACGAGGGTTTATACTAACATACAACAACTACAACAACTACAGCAACATGGCCAGCATTGGCTACAACAGCAACAAATTTCGCAGCTCGCCCGCTGCGCGCTTTGTTACAATTTTTCCATCTCCTTCATCTCTTTTTTTTTTTTTTTTTTTTTTTTTATTTAATAAAGATTTGTTGTAGCAAAGTTTTTTGGATATTTCGCTACATAAATATAAGTAAGAACTTTGCAGTCGAGCAGCAACGACTGCATAATGCACGTTCGCTGAAAGCTCTGTAGAAAGTCAAACTTTATTCGATTTGCCATGGCCTTAAAAGGGAGTACGCACATACACAATGCTGATAGCTTTATACGATTCTAGCTTCAAATCTAAAATCCTAGCAAACCAATATACTCCTCTGCTGGCATCCATGAGCGCGTATGAAAAATGTTGTTATTTCTGTTCCGCTGGCAGCACATAAATTTAAGTTAATTGCATTTGCATTTAGCATATTTATGGCCAATTCGTAGCGCCAAGTGGCATTCGGCTAACTGGCTAACAGAAATTTGCTCTGCAAATGATTTAAATTGCATCAGAAACTAATAAAATTCGACTAATGTTGAAAATCGACACGGAGCTTAGCACATAATATTTAATTTTAATGTGTATTATTTTAATAGAAATACAGTTTTACATAGATCAGAGCAGGAGATTAAGCTCCTATTCCTTTTACTATGGAATCAATTGGAAGCTCTAATGGCATAACAGTGACTGTTATGTTAAGTAGGTTGTTGATCTACTCGATCTGGGGTTAAGCAAGAGAATCTTGACGCCTACAGAAAAATTTTAAAATGAACTGTTAAGCTAATGTTAGTTACAGGGAATGATGATAGACTCTAAACTTAACATTAGCTGTTAGGGCTACATAAATTATTACATATAGCTTAACAGTAAAGAAAGACAGGAGAGCGCAAATATTAACAGTTCTCATAAGAAAAATGTTGAATTGTGTGAACGAGTATTTCCATGGATAATACAAGACCGAAACAAATGTTAAATTTCTAATGGCGAATTGATGTTATTTATGCCACCGTATATATTCGTACGCATTGATTTTGTAATTAACATAATATACGATAGTGAAAGGCAATTAGGCAAATTGAGCGAACAGGTATTATGTGTAATTTGGCTATGCGACTAATGCCACACATGACTCAACACAGCAGCAACGGCAGCAACGACAGCAACAACAACAGCAACAACAGCAGCAACAGCAAGAAGGGCAAACATTAATAATAATGTAACATTAAACACAAAAAGCAATCGGTCTTTGGAGTGTCCTTCTTCATGGCCAAGTGATGCTGACAAGAACGCCCAGATGTTTTGCGCTCAACAACACTGATAAAGTGAGAGTCTATCTCTCTCTCCCTCTCTCTCTCTCTCTGTCTCTCATGTTCACTGTGTGCGCCCGCCTTGACCACTCGTACATAATCACAATTACATTTGCAAACAAAGGCAACAACAACAGCCAGTGACAGCAGCTCAAATTGATTGCTCGAGATATTGACATTATGACCAGAACCATATGACAAACAGCCAGGCAGGAGCGACAAGAACCCCAACAGATTTGGGCCAAAATTGTCCATATGCCACACACGTTTGCAAGTTGTGCTTTTGTTTTCTTCTATTTATACACATACAACAGAGCTGGCGCATTAACACTGTGCTACATGGCATACGGCTGGAATCGCATTGCAGCTTAAAGTAAGACTCAAAGAAAAATTTACATTTGGTCGTCAAAATAATTTCAATGAATTTTTAATACAACAGCAGTCACATTAACACTGTGCTACATGGCATTAAATTGAATTCAACATTCAAGTTTAGCAACTTTAAATTGAAGGCAAATTAAGTTTAACTTTGTTCGCAATCAAGTTTATAGAACAATAAACAGGCACATTAACACTGTGCTACACGGCATGCGGCTCAAATTGAATTTCATATTCAAATTCGGCGACTGAGAATTGATGAGAAAGAAAAGTTGCTTCTATACCTCAAGTAATTCAAATTCAAATATCAAACCAAAGCAAATACAGAACACTGTGCTACATGGACTTAAAATGTTTTGGAGGCAAGTAGAGAGCTCGAAGATCAGAGATATCAGAGGTATTTAAATCGAGAAATTGATTGACTGTACTATTCGTATATATAAATATATTACATGTAGCTTCCCTAGCTACACTGTGCTACATGGCATGCAACAAATAGTAATTTGAATATTTATGTACTGAACTAAAAATTATTATTGTGTTATTATGTTCAAATTATTTTTTTTATATATTGATATAAAAACACTATGCTACAAAAATCAACTATATTTTATATTATATTAAACATGTATTACATTTATAAAAAAAATTATAATTTTATAAAAAAATATACAAATAAATAATTAAAATAAAATAAAATTAATTTTTTGTAGCACAGTGTTTGTTTGACAGCAGCTTTGTGTCTTGGCACTTGAGCGACATTTTTTTGGCCACAGTGAGAGGCAGCATAAATCGCATGTAAAGAAATTATTGGATACACACACGCACGCACGCACATGTAGCAGAAACAATGTCACACAGACACACACAATGATATGTGGAAGCTCAACACATGTCTCGCAAGAAAAACAATTAAATAAGAAAACAATTTACATAAATTAGCCAAAGTGGCAAAATGGCTTCGGCCAAGTATCGTTTATGCAAACGCTTAAATAAATGTGCACACACACGCACACACACACACACATGCGTATGTATGTATATGAGAGTGTCTATAGATAGCGACAGCTGACAGGCACATCTACATAAAATACACATTGAGCTGGGTTTTACTTATCGTCGTCGCTGTTGCTGCTGCTGCTGCTGAAAAGTATGCTACACTTTACTACACTGGGAATTCGCAGCTACAGTTTGTCTTATCTATAAGTGGGTGGGTGGCTGTGTGTGTGTGCGTTTACTTTAGTATTTAAATAACGTTAATGTGCCATGTTGTTTAGTTTTCGATCTAAGCAAACGCCAAAGGGGAATCCATGGTATTTTATGGCTAAGCATGCGAGCAACACGCAAAAACATTTCTCTCTCTCTCTCTCGCTCTCTCTCTCTCTCTCTCTCTCTTCGTTTTTCATTTTGCCAATTGTTTAGCACGCCAATTTTATGGTATGTTCGTGTATGTCTGTGTACGTGTGTGTGTGTGTGTATATGTGTGAGGCTGTCTTTGAAGTTATCAGCGATTCAATTACGCATTGATTACCCGCATGGCATCAAATCTACAAACGAAGCCAATGCTGCGTATACGCAATCCCAAGCATGCGAAACGCAAAGCAAATTCAATTAGCGTCTTGCCTACAAAATGCGATTATTACACACATACTACATACACACATACATGCATACGTATATGTATATATCGTTCGGATAGTGTGTGAAAAGTTTACGTGGATTGATGCGTTCAAGTGGGCTACATAAGCTTACTTGTTGTTTATGGCAGCTGTGAGTGTGGATAGAGATTTAAAGCTTAAGGCATTTATTGCAACTATAAGAAATTGCAAATTGATTTTCAGTTTTGAATATTGACAGATATGTAGATTATATGGAAAATGAAGCCTTCAGTGATATCAACTATTCTTGATTTATTACTTGAATTATTAATTTTAAATTTAAGAAAATTTATTAACTCATATATCTACTGTCAAGTTTGTTCTACTTGCTGTAGCTAGATTACAGATTATATATATATATATATATATATATAGCTTATATAGCTTATATATATAGCTTATACATTAACTATATACCCATCTATTTACTTTACTAAAACTCATAGTTCTCTATTTAAGATCTTATAAAATCGTGTCATATCGTGCAATATCGAATTCTTTTTGCACAGGCTGACTTATATCAGGTTCATTAAACTGTTAAAAACCTATATTAACTTGATTCTAAATGATATCGTACTATATCTATAAAAATCAATATCAACTCATGTCAAAGCTCATGTCAAATTGTATCAAATTTTGTTTAAAAGTCATTTTAAGTGGAGTCAAACTAAGATCAAACCAACCCAAGTCGTGCATGGTCGCATTGAAGCTATATCATCTCGTGTTAGTAGTGTTAAGTCATTTGAGCTCATGTCAAATCGTTCAAAACTCGAGCAATATTGAGACTGAGCCACATTCTGTTCAAGCCTCGCCTTGAAAAGTTTAAAATTATGTCAAGTCGAGTTAAGTTGCATTTAAATTAAATTTAATTAAAATAAGTCGTGTCAAAGTCATAACAAAAGAGTTGAAACCATATATTGCCATATCCGGATGACTTGACAAGTCATGTTAAGTTGTCTGAATTTCGTGTCTAATCCAAAAGTTGGGCTAGGTTTGGATTAAGTTGTATCAAGCCAACCCAAGTCGTGTTTGAGCGTAGCAAAGCTATATCAACTCGTGTCAAGTCGTGCCAAATCGTGCCTATCGAGTTAACTCATGTCTAGTCGTGTCCAGTTCGCCTTAAATTGTCTAAAATTTCTCTCCAATCACATCAAAGTTCAAGTCAAACCTTCAAGCTGCTCCAGCTTCGTCCACTTCAAACTCAATGCCAAACACGTGCGCTCTCGTGTTACGCTCCCCAAGCACGCACACGCACACGCGCTCAGCTCTAACTGTAGGTCTAGTGGCTCACGAAACTAGAAGTCTGCCTTCTTCAATTAAATAGCTGTCAGCGCCCAGTTGGATTAAGTTGCACCTGAAAGCGCCTCTCTAATTAAGCAGCTGGCTTTAAATATTTAATAAGCTGACCCGTTCCCAAAACAAACTCTCTCTCACTCACTCACTCACCCTGTCTCTCTCTCTCTCTCTCTCTTTCGGTGTGTCTTTAAGGGCCACTTTAGGTGTTGGCATGCGGCACAGCAATTACACTTCTCGTGCTGGCCACAAAATGAAGGTCACATGCGTCGCTCTAGCAGCAAATCCATTTAATACTATTTGCGCAAATATTCACGCCATTTGGGGAAATGCGAACTGAGCGCTGAGGGCACGACCAGGCACACACACACACACAAACACAAATATACACACGCATACAAAACACTTTGGCAGGCCCAATGATTTTCTTTTGCTTTTTTTTTTTTATCCATCTCTCTACTCCACTTTTCCATTCTTATTTTTTTGTCAAATTTCCGCACACGAACGCAAAATCAGCATAATTTTATTTATTTAAAGCAATATCGAGTCTTGAGCAAAGGGTCAGCATGCTGACGATGAGGCAAAAGGTTTTGACTACTCAATTACTTTAATTTGGTGGGGATTGAAGGCGACGACAACAGTAAGAACAGCAAGAAAAAAAAAAAGGATGCTTCCTTATAGCAAAGCAACAAAAAAAGGAGTGAAAAAAACGAGAGAAAATCAAAGAGGTCAAGCGCTCGAAGCAGTCAAGCGTGAAATTTATTTTGAGCAGGCACTCTATACATGTATACATACATACATAGGTATATACCATATACACATACATGTATTGGCATTGTGGCGTGACTGTAACAAATATACACAATTTATTTACGAACGTATCCACTTACATATGCATATGGTAAAAGCCAGCAAGGCCTGGCCGAGCAGAGGCCTCCCCATTTTGGCAATGCGTACAAATTGCGGTTTATTGAAGCGTAAGGCGCAACAGCAACAACAATTCACCTCTTGCCAGAAGAAGTAAATGCAAATTTACAGCTATTCTTGTACAAATTAATGGCGCAAAGAAAGAAAAAAAAAGGCTAACAAATTTAATTTTTACAACACTTTAAAAAAATCTATGCAGCATTCATCATTTTAATCCTTTCTCTCTCTCTCTCCCTCTCTCTCTCTAGCCCGCTACTGGCGCTTCTTCAGATACCAAATTAAATCGTCTGCGCTTACGTCTTGGCAAATTTTCAACGGCCAAGAATAAGAGCGGCACAGCGTCTGGCGGAGCAGGAGCTGCGGGAGGCAGCACGGCATTGGGCCTGGTCGAGGGCAACTCGACGAATACGGTTAACACGGTGGAGGATACGGAGTTCAGTAGCTCGAATGTGGATAGCAAAAGTCGCGCCGGCATCGAGGTAAGTGTGCGTGCGTGTGTGTGTGTGTGTGTGTGTGTGTGTGTGTGTGTGTGCCCAGCCCACATAGCAGGGGATTTGGATTTTCGAATTGGTTTTTGCTCTCCCGATTTTGTTATTTTTTTGGGTACGTAGAGCTGCGCTCAAAGCAAATTTCATAACGCCTGACATGTGCCCAACGATCTGAGTTTGCTTCCTGAGTGCCCAAAAAAATGGAGACACGTGAGAGTGATTTAATGGGGTGTGCCTGACTGTTAGATGATCTCTTATTGTTTTAGATCTTCTAGATTTTATATTTAGCTAAATTTCAAATGTTTCACATATATATGTTTTGATCTGATTGTGGAAAAAAGAAAATATTTCTAATATTTTATAGCTTTTAGAGAGTTTTTAAAATAAATTTCATGCCGCTAGCTTTTATAGTCGTCAAGATATTTAATTTTTAATGCTTCTACTTCACAAGTCTCAACATTTTTAGCACAGCTAAACAGATCTCTTACCGAGTCTAGTTGGGCATATATGTATACCCTAACTTCAGCCTCAGTCTCAGTCTCACACATACAGCAACTAATCTACCCCATTTAATCACTCCACAAAAGGATATCAAATCCTTGTCCAGTCTTTCGTTGCGTGTCCTGTGCGCGTAATCCCTGTTAAATCCAAATAGAAACTTGCACATGTCGTTAGCTAAACATCAAGTTCGGCTGACATTTGATTTATGCACGCATAAATCGATTTACTTTTTATATAGAACATGCGGATTACGTATACGACACGTGTTCGAATGATAAAAAAAAAAAAAAAAAAAAAACAGAAATTTAAAAAAATGAACTCTTATAATTTTTTGGAACCGTTCTCTTTTATATGCATGCTACAGCTGCATATGGACATCTATATAAATATGTATATGAAAAAGGTTTAAGCCCGCAAATTATACAAAATGTGGGCGATAAAATGCAGGCAAAGCTTCTTTTTTTTTTTTTTTTTTTGACAAAACGAAAATTTGTATTTAGCAGACATTTTATGTACTTCAATTTCAGTTAGCTTTTTTATGGCCAAGCACACACACACACACATACACAGTCGCGCACACATTCAATAATAGGCAACGAAAATCGAAACATAAAAAAATAAGCAAGCCTCGGACTTCGAGTTGAGTTCGAGTCGAAATAAATTGGTAGCGAGTGGCCAAAAGGTCGCTGAGTGCGTTTCATGCAGGTTAAGTAATAGCCAAGTCACACATACATAGGCAGAGTGAGAGAGAGGGGAGTGAGAGAACGTCTGTGACAAGGATACCAAATGGGTGTCGTTGCCATGCAAAACCATCTCAGCTCCGTTTCAGTTTCTGCTTCAGTTTCTGTTTCAGTTTCAGTCAAATGAAAACAAAGCGCAGCAACAGGGAACGTGAAAACGTGGGCACTCAATACGCTTGAAGTAATTGAGGAAAATATGTTGATAGCTTATGGCTAACAGCTTTCGTTTGACCATAATAACTAAGCGTATCAGCAACATGGCTCGCATGGCTATTTGCCTTTGCCTGGACAGCAAATAGAGGACAGACACACACACACACGTACACACACACGTTCACATGCACTCAGATTAAATATTTACTTGGGCCAGGTTTCTGTGTGTGTGTGAGTGTGTGTGTGTGCGCCAAATAAGTGGACAGCCAAATAAATAAACACAAACACACGACACACTCACACACACACACTTACGAAACTCACTTACACACACACTCCACGCATAGCCGCAAGCAAATATATATACATTTATCATAGTAGTTTCGTTTATTATATGAGCCAAGAGGCAAAAACAAACAAAATAGCAGCAACAACAACAACAACAACAGCAAAATAGAAAAGAAGGATAGAAAAAAAAGAGCTAAAATCAGTGGGAAAAAAAGCTAGCAAGAGAGTTTATTAGAGCAAACTGTGCAGCACCGAAGCTTTCCATATACTTCAAATCCCGCATCGACAAATCGGCAATGGCACAAAAGCAAATAGAGCTGAAATCCAAATGGGAATACAATTTAATTATGCATAAATCATAAAGTTGAGGAATTTCTTGGCAAACTGTTGCAATTGAAATGCAATTTGAATAACTTTTCCAGTGCAAGTTCCAGAAAGAGATGACTAAGCGTTGCAATCGAGCAAAGTAAGAAAAACTTTTCAATTGACAGTAAATAAAAGTGAGACTTGACTTGAGAAGGTAAAAAGTAGAAAGTAGATGAAGTGCCAATTGAATTTGGAATTTAATTTGATTTAGTAATTCTATAGATGTCTAAAATTAATAAAAATAATTTAAAAGTTGCTCGAAGCTATAAAAAAATAAAATTTTCCAGACTCTATTTCCGTTAAGATTTGTTAAAGTCTACAGCTTTTATGTTTTATTTTTAAATGCTTCTAAATCATATATATCCAAATATTTACAGTTAAGAATTGTTAGCTTTTTTATTTTATGAATTTTTTATTTAGTGTACTTTAGTATTATCTAGTTTATTTCTCAACTCCTCAAGTTCTTTTATATGAAAAGTTTTAAATATTCTCTTCTATAAAATCTTTACAATCTCTACTCCTAGTGTTGTATACTTTTATTTAAATAATAATTATATATATATAATTATATAATAAATAGCTTTCTTTATCTTCTTTTCTCTTATTATCTTTCATATAATATAAGAAGTTTGTTCTCCTTTTTTTTTTAACTCTAACATAGTGCTCACCGTAGCTAATCAGCTCAAAGTATTGCCATTAGAAATACACTTACCCAACGCACAAGCCAAAAGCAAATTGGAAACAAAAACAATAAGTCAATGCAAGGCGCAAGTGGCGCCTGCAAATAAATTGAAACAAATATACATTTCACTTAAATGCAGGCTGCTAGAGTAGGGAGAGAGAGGCGGAAGGGGAGAAGGCGAGAGAGAGGGAGAGAGAGAGAGAAAGAGGGAAGCGAATACGTTAGTAAAGCAAAGAAGTTAAGGGTGGTCAATGGGCACATAAATAAAATATTAGCTGTAAGTGTGTGTGAGAGAGAGAGAGAGAGAGAGAGAGAGAGAGAGAGAGAGAGAGAGAGACAGAGTGTTTGAGTGTGTGTGTTTGTGTCTGTGTGCTACACTTTGTTAACGCTCACTTCTAAGCTTGTTGCTGTGTTTGTTTTTTGGTTTAGGGTTTTTAGTTTTCTGGTTTTCAACTCTTCGGGAAAAAATAAAAGCGAAACATTTCAAATTAAAAGTTGCTGAACAAAAAACAAAACAAAACAAAAAAAATGAAAGAACTTGCAGCTGGCCCGTGCGGCGTATGCGGCGTATGAGGCGTATGCGTAATCTTCAAGTTTCAGCACGAAATAAGCCAAAGTTGCTCAACTGCTGCCGCTCAACAGTTGTGCAACTGTTCCACTCACATTGTCCTCGGCATCGGCCTCGGTCTCGGCCACTATTGAAAAGTTATTACCGTCCCGTGTATTGGCCATTAGAGAAGCCAATGGAACGCGCAATCATTAGACCGCATTGTTGTGTACGTTCTCAATTGCAGTTTGGCATTGATTCGCTTTACGTGCGGTCGGAATCGAAAAGAATACGAAATGAAAGCAAATCGCAGCAAATATCAAGTCGAACCTCTCAGTCCGAAACCAAATGAAATTGCAACATTTGTTTGTATTCGCTCTCCCTTTCACCCACACGCTCGCTCTCTCTCTCTCTCTATCTCCTTCCGGCTGAATGACACACAATGGCATTGACAATGGCCATAGCTTAGGTTACACACACACATACACACACACACACACATATGCTATACACTTTCGCTTTGTACAAATTTTTGTGCCCAATGGCCATTGAGTTTTATAAGCCGCCTTCTCCTAGCTCTAACCTGTCGGCGACAAGACGCAAGGGCTCTTCCCTCGTTCGTTCTGCAGCTCCTGCGGCGTCTTCTTCTTGCTTCATTGTTTGGCAAATTGAAAATGCATTTTTTATTTTTGTGGTCCGGCACCAAGAAAAATTTTAATTTTAGTCAGAGTTGCTGTTTCTATGCACACTCAAGGAGTAAAATAGAGTTTATAGGTTTTATAAGAGGTAAATCTTGACATCTGTGAATTCTAATGCCCAGAGCAAGTCGAAATCAAGACTGTATATGAAAATAGAAAAGTCCCAATAAGAATTCCTTCATGAATTATGCTATAGTCTATACTCTCCATGCTCTAAGCTCTACCCTTGAGAGCATGGCAAAGGAAATATTCTCCAGAGAAGCCTATTTGTATATTTATTTTTTATGGCTTGCCAAATTGATAATCATCGATGGAAATATTTTTATTTTTATGCCACGAGCAAGCATCTTGCAGTCAGCTACATCCGACTGCAACATTCTCGGTTGCCCTCGTTACTCTTCTCTGTGCTAGGCTGTGGCAGCGCATCAATTACACGCTTATAACAACCAAGCAATATATTATGGAATCAAAGTCATAAAATTCATTTGGCAACGACTCTGGCGCCGTGTCCGTGCAGCCCATTAATTGTGAGCAATGCCCTCTTCAGACCAAACAAAAAAAATTGGTTCCCAAATTAGAGACGAGACTTGTGCTGAAAAACCTCTATCTGTTATAAAGGTGAAATTTGAAATGAATTTTAAGCCTCAAAGCGGGCATTGTAGCGTTGTGAGTTGTTTCATTCCGAAATTCCTTTAATTTAAATCGAAGCAAACGATACTCGAGGTGTTTTATAAGCGTTTGCTTATTCCACTTTGTTTAAAGATGTCGAGAAATATTTCAAACAGTTGTAAAGAACAGTTATATTATTTACGATATAAATAAACTATCGAAAATTCAAATTTAAATCATCTTCAAACTCACTGAGCAGCAGCTATCGCACATGAATTGTTTATATTGCACTTATCGATACTTGCAAGCTATCAAACATCGTTAAAATTCAAATGCTGCCTATCGTCACATTTTCGCATCACTAAAGCTCTCGCATTCAATTGCTGATCTCAGCAACTATCGCAACCATTCGCACATAACTAAAGCGCGCGCTTATTGATATCCCAGCACGAGTTGTTTATGCGCCATCTCTAGGCGCAAAATGTGCGGCACCTGCGTTGGCTTGTTTACACTAGGCGAGAGTGGAAGAGAGAGAGAGAGAGAGCGAGTGTGGCCGTAGACAAAATTTATAACACATAAAAGTTGATTTTAGCACTTTACGCTTCTGCACATTATGTGGCCCATGGACATGGACACTGCTGTCTCAAATTACAGGTGATTATATGAATTTTAGTGCCTACGACATGCCGTTAGCAAGCAGCAGGTAGGCGAGCGGGCAGGCGGGCGGGCGACGAGCAGGCCAACTCGACAAATTGCAGCCCTTTTTGACCAAGTGCCTGCGAATGTGCGGCTTCCTTCCGGCATAGAGTGGCTTAATAGCAGGGGCGTGGCATACACCCATCACACACACACACACACATACACACCGTCGAGTGGTGCGTGCGTGAATTCTCAACGTGAAGCTTAACGTAAATATATACACGTATTTATTTGCTCGGCGATTTTTATGAATAGCCACAGAAATGGCCAAGCATAAAAAAGCGGAAATGGAAGTGGAATTGGTTTAGAGGAATTGCTCATAAATATATTTATGTGAATGCAATTGCAACCAGCTCCGATTTGTAATGCTAAACCGAAATTGAATATTGATATATGCGCTCTCTTTCTCCCTCTCTCTCTCTCTGACGCTCACTATCTCTCTTTTTGCAGGCGCCAAGCACATCAGTTAGCCAAATCGCTACCGTCTCACATTTGGTGGCTTTGGCCAATCAGCAGCACAAGCAACTGAAACCCACTGAAGCTGTTGAGCCACGCGTGCAGGAGGAGGAGCAGCTGGAGGAACAGCAGCAAGAACATCAGCTAAATGTGGTTGAAGCAACCGCAACCACAACAGCAGCAGCAGCAGCTGAAGCTGGAGAGGCAACAGCAGCAGCAGCGGCAGCAGCAGCAACAACACCAACTGGCAAAGCCAATGGCAACGGCGGTGTGGAGGTGCTTGAGGATCCGCAGCTGCAACAGCAGTTGGAACAAATGCAACAGCTGCAAAAAACAAGCAAATCCGTCGGCGGTGGTGGTGGCGGTGGAGGTGGTGCCAGCACATCAAATGCCACAACAATTACATCGATATCAGCGCTATCGCCACAGACACCAACGACGCCAGCAGCTGGCCCAATGACAACAAAGACCAGCACGCTAACCAGCTGCAACCAGGCGCATCCGTTATGCAGCTCCGCAAACGCCTCGGGTGCGGTAACACCCGAGCCGCGCACCAAACAGCTGCACCTGCAGCTGCATCAGCAACCAAATCCAAGTCCCAATTCATCCACTCAACACTCACAGCAGCAGCAGCCGGCACAGCAATTGTCCAGCATCGCGAATCCCATGCAAAAGGTGAACAAACGCAAGGAGACGCTGGAGGCGAAGCGTGAAAGGAAAGCGGCCAAAACCTTGGCCATTATAACGGGCGCCTTCGTTGTCTGCTGGCTGCCCTTCTTTGTGATGGCGTTGACGCTGCCCCTCTGCGCCGCCTGCCAGATCAGCGACAGCGTCGCCTCGCTCTTCCTGTGGCTGGGCTACTTCAACTCGACGCTGAATCCGGTAAACATTTATTATGCAAACATAGAATATATATATATAAATAAGAATTATAAATCAGTGTGAACTTTTCCAAATTTCTTTGTTATACATGAATCTGGAACTAGGTTAGCTTTATCACAACAGATTTTTGAGATCAAACTAAAAGTGCAATGAATATTTCTGTTTAAATATCTTAAGGTATTGCTAATCTCCTCTGCAACTTCTATAACAAGTTTAAAGAACTGTTTCATTGTTTACAAGGCATCGTTTATAGAGCTTACTGAATATTCCTTAAGAATAATCCTTGAGCTCTGCAAAATCGTTCTCTCTGTATACCCATCACTCACGCTCTCTCTATCTCCTTCTCCCTCGACTATGATTATCTGAATTTGGTATATTTTGGAGCATATCTCAATCATTCATCCATTCGCTTGTAGATTATAATGAGATTGTTATATATGATAGTTAAACTATATTCCCTTTTTGCCTCTTTTAGGGCAGTTGGCAGCACATACGACTTTATCGATATATATCGAATAACTAATCACTTTTAAACCCAGAATAACGAATTCGAGAAGGATCTTAGACATATGTACATACTTGTATAACAGACAGAAATATGCGTGTTTGTATATAATAATCCATATGCATATATTCTTACATAAGAGCAGGAGCTAAGCCGATAATAACTACATATATCATTAGTCCGTCTGTATGAACCGTTAACCTCAGCAATAGTATATAATCCGGTAAAACTCAGCCCAGATGCCCAACGGCACTGAGGACAGTATTCATTTCATAAGCGAAACGGCATTTCAATTCCCTCTATGAAACCAAAGAAAGTCTCGCTCATAATATCTTCGATTCTCTCAAAGAATTGATCACATATATTTGTATTCACATATATAAATGTGCATAAATCTCGATAGCTGACTAACGTCCGTATTTCTCAAAGTTCCATTCGAGATTGTCCAGGGGGCAGACGGGACGCGTCTTCAGCCAATGCGAGATGCAATGGAAGTGAAAGGCATGATTGCACGAGCCCCAGGCGACGGTGCACTCGGAGCCGCTGTTGGTCGACTGATTCGCCTGGCATTGAATGCACGGATCCATAATGTGATTGCGACAAATGGCACAGTTATCGACGACTATATCCCAGGACCAGAGAGCAACGCCATTCCATTTCTTGACATTGAAACGTTTGCGATCCATGCTGTTGCCGTTCCCATTGCCGCTGCCGTTGTCCTTTCCGTTTCCACTTCCACTGCCATTCCCCTTGCCCTTGTCGTCGTTTTTCTTGCCGTTGCCGCTGCCATCGCCATCGCCGCCGGCTGCGGCTGCGCTGGTCGTTGGCCCCTCGTTATGGTTGGCGCTCATTTTCGATGTCTTTCTGTCTAATTGGGCAATAATTATTATGTCTGTATTAGGCGAAGTTTCACATAAAACTGAATTTCACTTACTCCCTTTTTTTTACAATCTACTAAACTATTTTACGTGCTCACACGGCGCTTTTGACAATTAGAATGGGCCGTTGGGAAGTTGACAGCGTTGCCACCTAAGTTTTTTTGTCATGGATTACTTGTATTTCATTTCGATATTTATCGATAGTAAGGTTGGACTTTTTAAAGTATATTCTCTTCAGTTACTTTGGCATTAAAGGAGCAGAGCTTGACAGTGCTACAAAATTAGCCATTTTTGCACAGCAAATGAAAACATACATATGTATGTACTACATATACAGTAGAATCCGGTTGTAACGACGAAAATTGTGGTCCCCAGACAAACTCATTTAAGTAAACATATATAGCTATAGCGTCCTCTGAATAGAACGACGGTCCCTTCAACTGTATTTATAGTAGCTAATTGCTTTGCATTATGAACTCAACTTCCTATTCCTATTCCTATTTTCTATACCAAACATTTTTCCTTTTTTTCTTAAACCAAGTTTAATTTAAGAAAATTTCATACAAAAATTGAATTTAACTAATAAAAAACATACTCCTTTCTCTCCCTCTCTCACTCTCCCTCTCTCTATCTATCTCTCTCTCTGCCTCTCCCTCTCTCTCTCTCTCTCTCTCTGTTTTCACAGGTCATCTACACGATATTCAGTCCTGAGTTCCGACAGGCCTTCAAGCGCATCTTGTTTGGCGGTCATCGACCAGTGCATTATCGCAGCGGGAAGCTCTAGATAGTGCATGCGAAGAGGCGAAGGTATGTACATTCAATATTATGAAAATAATCGAGATATATAAACATACATATGGGTATGTACATAAATAAAAAAAAAAGACGTGAAAACATATCCAAAGAAATTGAAAACGATTGCAATTCTATCCAAACAGAAGCTCTGGCAGTTATTTTTCTTTAATATATTTTTTTCAATTTCGCTTTGCACCAGTTTCAATTTGCAATGTGCTGCAATATTCCGTTATTGATATGGCTTAAGCAGTTGTTGCTGCGGCTGCTGTTGCAGTTGCTGTTGCTGTTTTAGAGAGTGTTTTGAATTTGGCTGTCAACGTATAGTGTCTTTGCTTTGGGCGCCCAATTTCACCAAATACTCGACACAAGCTGGCCATGGCCAACACGCACACACTCAGACACTCTCTCTATCTCTCTCTCTCTCTCTTTCTCTCTCCCACACACCCTCACCCACTCTCACACGCTTTGCTGCCCGCTTGCCATGGCAGTTGAAACAATTTGTTAGCCTTGAAGGCAAAGTTTCTCGCATCTCTCGACTCATTTCTCAAATTTCCAAAACTGTGAAAAAGTTTTATCCGTCGACTTTATCGGCGCTGTCATCTGCATGCGAGCTGCGTTTTAAATCAGCTCTGGACAGGATAACGTATAATGCGCCAAAAGGGTCATTCCAATTATGGCAACACAATGCGTGCGTTTTTATCTGGAAAAAGGCTTAAAAAAATGGCTAAAATTAGAATTAACAAAATAAAAGCTTTAGCATAATGAGCTCTCGACGGGTTAGCACGACTAAAACATACCTCGTAGGAAGCCTTATAAGAGACGGATAAACGTGTAGACAGAGAGACACAAAGACAGACAAGCAGTGTCTAATCCTTCTGCTCAACACGCCCCGCCACCTGTTACATAATGTTGAACAAAACTAATATGCCCTCAATTACCCTAAATTTGCATTTGCAAATTTCAGCAGTCGCAGCCGACAACAGCAAAATCTGAAAGAAACTTTAATTAAGTGAAATTAATTTTGGCAATTTACATTTGAATAAGTTTCTTCCGTATTTAAAAACTATTTTGCAGGCGTTTCTGCTAAGCAGGCGAAAGGATTTGCCTCTTCGTTAAAAATGTATTTAAAAGGCCACAGAAAGCAGCTAAAGAAGATGAACAAAAGGCAGCGGAAGATGATGAAGAAGAAGAAGACGAACACCAGCACTCACTACATGCATGTATACCAAAAGTAAAGCATTAGCAGTAGATATAAGAAATGGAGATTATAAATGTATTAAAAATAAATGTATTAAAATATATATTGTAAATGGGTTAAGACAAATGTAAATAAGTTGAGCGAACACTATAAAATAATTAAATATAAATATTGAAATAATTTAGAAAAAGCAAAGAATGACAAGAAACTGTTGAAACTCTTTTTAAACTAATTTGGAAAATGTTGATATTTCTTTATTGTAAAAAACAACTTAAGGCAATTAATTTTAAAACAGTTTCGGGTTTTTTTATATATAAGTTTGGGGTTTCATTTTAGAAATTCTATTCTGTGAACTTGGTTTAAAGTAACGTTCCAATTTTCGTCATGGAAACTAATTCCTAAAACTAATTTTTTAGGATATTTCCGAAACACATTTTGAACATGATTTTTGTACATTGCATTTTTAGAATTTTTGGAAAATTATTTTTTTTTCAACTGTTTTTAGAAACGGGTCTGTGTTTAAAGCTTGTTTTTTGGGGGAATAGTTTCTATAGCAGCTTTTCTGGAAAATGGAAATGGAAGAACTGTTTTAGAATCTATTGTGGAAACTATATTCTCTTGACAACTGTACCATATTCTCTGCAGAATTTTGAAGCTGTACGAACTATGTAATCAAAATACCAAAAAATACAAAAGTAATAATTAGTTATAAGCTTTAGCAACTAAAATAAAACTAAATACTAGCGAAATTTACTTCCAAATACAAATAGAAAGAAAGAAAAATACTTTTCAAAAGATATAATGAAATATTGAATGTATGTAAACTATTTAGAGACGTAAGATCAGTTACTAGATCATATAGTTTGGGTATGGGAGCATAGCAAATGGACTTTTTTGGAATCGTTATAACTGAACCATACAGCATATATATAAACATATATATCTAAGATATAGCGATCTTTAAGTGTGTATAAAATCAGCTAGAAAATAAGTGCAAAACATTTGTTGACTATTCATGGGCAATTAGCGTAAGGCCCAAATGTATAATTAAAAATATAAATAAATCAATATTAAATATTAAAAACTTTAAATTTAAATGTAGATTTAAAATTGTTTAAATGCAATTTAAATCAATTGTTAAAGCAAATTCTAGTTACACCTAATAAATATCTATATATATAAATAAATAAAAAATTGTTGTACTATTAAAAGTTAAGCAAAAAAGTTGGTAAAAAAAAATATATAAATAAAAAAATATGTCAAGGATTTCTTTGAATATAAAGCATATTAAAAATACAGACAAAATAAATTTAAGGGCGCAAGAAAATTTATTGTAAAGAAAATAACTAAAAAGACGAAGAAGAAGACGATGCAGAAACCACGTGTATTATTGAAAAGCAAAAACTACTTTCGGGAAAAATGGGTAAAACGTAATTAGCAAAAATTTAAATATAAAAACAAAAACTTCAAATATATAGCAAAAAAAAAGGGAAAACCCTCTTAAAGTAAGCAAACAATATCAGAATTGAAATCAAATCGTTTTAATACCCTAAAAACTATTGAAAAATAAACCTATTTAAATGTGAAAAAAAAAATCAAAAAACTTCAACTAGATTTTTAAGAAACTACAGCTCTATCTATGTCTAAATCTAGATATCAAAAATAAATAAGAAGAAGGCAGTAAATACCTATTCAACCGTAAATAATAACAAAAGAAAACGCTTTTGATTTGCTCTATATCACACAATAATTCATCACACAAAACACTGATTAAATTTTATTTTTTACTTTACGTAAATTTCTTAATTTTTAAAAAGAAAACAAATTGGCGCGCATTTAGTAAGAATTATTGCCTGATATACAAAGCAAACAAAAAGATGACGCAACTTAAATCAAATGCTATGCTATAAAATTACTGTACATTTCATTGGCTGCAAATTACAAATAAAAACTAAATTGAACTTTCAAGCAAAACTCTTTTAATTTTCAAATTAACGGAAATGCCAGCTGAGACGCAAACCAAAATGCAGAGAGACCTTTTTAGTGAGAAGCCAGTTTAGCATATTTCAGGCTAGATTTAGCCTCTCAGTCTCACAGTTTATCTTACCGAATAGCTCTCTGTCTGTGTGCCTAATTACAAAGAATCATTTATATTGTCTACATGTGTGCAGCAGAATTAATTTGGTATTTATATTGCAATAAAACGAAGCTAAAATGCTTGTAGCAGCAGACTCTGTTCCCATTGGTCAATTGAAACTCTACTGAGAGCCAGTGCTGCCAGTTTAACCTATTTCAGGCTAGATCTAGCCTCGCCGTCTCACTTTATATCTCACAGTCTTTCTTACCGAATAGCTCTCTGTCTGTGTGCCTAATTACAGAGAGTCATTGTCTACATGTGTGCAGCAGAACTCATTTGGTATTTATATTGCAGTAAAACGAAGCTACAATGCTTGCAGCAGCAGAGACTGTTCCCATTGGTCAATTGAAACTCTACTGAGAGCGACTTTGTGTTTGTGTTTGTGTGATAGTCGCCCTATATAAAGGGCAGCAGCTGAAGCATTTCTTCAGTCGCCCAGAACTATTGGGGGTCAATTAAACAGTGCAGTATAGGCTAGCCCATATACAAACCATTTTGTATAGCAACACTTTTGTGTACAATACAAGCGCTTCATCAGACACCAGCAAAAATGTATGGCAACATTTTAGGGTAAGTTCGAAACTTTAGCTCAGACACGAACCGAAATGGATAAAATAAGTTGCAATAATTTTAGTGACAAGTCTTAGCTGATGCGCAACTCAATAATTTATAGCAACATTTGTAGACCTTTTCATTTATGCCCTGCGCAAAAATGAGCTCACTTGAAGTTGGCTACGCGCACATTTCTACTCACGTCAAGTTGGCTGCGCGAGCAATGTAACCTAAAGTTGGCTGCGCGCACAATATTCATTGCTCATTTGAACTTGACAGAGAAGCACAGCTGATTTCATATGAAGCGGCGCGAATTTATACGAGAAGCAGGAAAATATTTTTATCTGTCAATTTTAATTTTTTTTTTTTCGTGATTATTTTATAAGTTTTCATAAAGCATGTTGAATTTGAATTGTGTTATATGCGCGGAGCTTTTTACGCCATCCGATGAAGTCTACGTTACCTCCTGTGGGCATATGTTTCACCACACTTGCCTCATGCAATGGCTCGAACGGTAAGCGAAAGTTGCAAACGGAAATATAAAACATATAATTGAAATTGAAAAAATATACAGCTCAAAAACTTGTCCACAATGCCGCAACAAATGCACAACTCGCAATATATTGCGTGTGTATTTCAATGTAGCCAATTTAGATACCAGTCGCATCGATGTGGGCTCGCTGCAGGAGCAATTGGACAATGCTAATTTGGCCATTCAATTGAAGGACAGGGAACAAAAAAAAACTGAACAACGTTTGAGGGAGCTAAAGGACATTCAAAAGAAGTGCTTGTAAGTTGATTGTGAATAAACTTAATACATATATCGTAAGTTAATCTCATTTCCGATTTAAAGAAAAACTATAAGTGGCTTGGAGGCCAAGGTGAGGAGCGATGAATTTACCATTACCAGCTATGTAGAGCAGTTGAGAATGCTTAAAAACGAAGTATTGATCATTGACGCCGTGCGCAAGGAGAACAATATGTTGAAGGAAAACATCAACTTATTTGAAAGCGTTGCAGCTATGTTAACAGCAACCGCTTCCGATACTGAAAATTTGCTGAGTAACGAGTCGAATCCTCGAGTCTTAGCCAGTTGGGTTTCGACACTGAAGCGCGAGCTGCGCCAATGCGAATCCAAGAAGGTAGAATTGCGCAATGTGATCAAAACTGTACAGGCTGATCTACGCCGTGAGCTGGACTCGAAACGGTAAAGTAAAATCAGATCCTATATATCCTACGTGTATAGTATTTGTTACGTGTATAGTGTTTGTTACTAAGTATAGTATTTGTTATTGTTGTTAAACTATATGCAGTATATCATACTGTATTCTATATACGGTATACTAATAGTTTACTCTTTTTGCCACTTCCAGTCAGCTGGAAGAGCAAGTCTCACAGCTAGAGAGCGATTTGTATCGTACACAACAGAAGGTATGACTAAAGAGAGATCACCTTAGAAATTTATATATTTTATATATATGTATATTTATCTTATCAACAGCTTAAGACCAATAAGACTACGCCAATAGATTTGGATGCTTTGAATAATTCCTTAGGCCTTAACACTAACCTTATAGCAATAAAGCAAGAGGACAGGCGCAACACTATCTCACCAACAACTGTATGTATCGGAATGTGCCATTGAATATACATATATATAATAGTATACCTTTACAGAAAGAGAACATCAAGCGCATTGAGGAGTCAACCTCACCCTACTTGAATATCAAATCGAGCAGCGTTGGCATTTCCCATTTGCTCAAACCTCCCGAGCTGAGCATGACCAAAATCTCGCCGATCAAGAGTGGATCAGGCATTAGCATGGCTTCGCATGGCGTCATACGTAAGACTCACAGTGATCTTAGCGAAAAGGTGGCTATTCCAAATGTATTCAAATGTAATGTTCTAGTACAAATCCTTTATTGCTCTTTCTGCTGCAGTATTCGATATTCAAGAAACCTCGCCTCTTGCTGACCGGCACCTCCAGCTCGTCGGCTGCAATGGGGTCAAATTTCGCATACAATGGCATGGGCGGTTCGGAGAAGATAGATCCATTTTTGCAGCGTGATGAGGAGGAGAACGAACAGCAGAACTTGCCAACGCCTAAACCATCAACAATTAATTCACGCTTGAAGGCGGGCTCGCTGCGTAACTTCAAGTTAACTAAATGAAAATAGTTATAATAGCCAGAAGAAAAACAAGACTGCAACAACTTTCAAATAGCAATAATTTATAGATGAATCTAATGTTAGCTCAGATTATTGTGCGGTTGCATTTTTAAGTATGTATGTGCTTAAAATGTAGCTAGCAATGAATTATATAAAAATATCAAATATATATATGTCCTTGTTTGTTTTTTTTTTTTTTATATTATGCGGCAATTTTCTTTTCCGCCGTGCCGGTCCACTCTTCGC